GAGCTGTCCCAACCGCTACCTTTGCAATCCGTGGTCGGTGTCTCGAGATAGCACACCGTTTGTGCAAATATATATGTCTCTTGGACGCATCCCCGGGAGGCGTTAATTTTGTTTCTTTTTGGCCAACAAACTAGACTACACGCACGCAAGAAACCACGACGCACTGCCGTGCTGCACACACCGCTGCTGCTACTGGCAAGACACGCACTACACAGAGACAGGGAACATGGACAAGGGGGGCGGGACACACACACATACTGCTGTTAGCGCCGGCGGAGGAAGCGGGAAACGTTTGGTTGGTCCGGGGTTCATTGCTGATGATGTTGTTGTTGTTGTTGTTTCCGTTGGTTGTTTGTTGTTGTTCAACGCTGCCGGCCTTTTTTTCGCCTTTTTTTCTCTGGAGAGAGAGGGAGTCCCACCAACCAGCGTGTGTTGCACACACCACACAGCGAGAGCGGGACGGGAGCAGGGTGTGCCCTATACTACTGCTGCTGCTAGCTTTCGGCGGAGGAAGCGAGAGGAGAGATATTGATTGGGTCTCTGTGGGTCCATCGGTTGGTTGTTGTTATTGTGTTGCGACGCGGCGGGAGGGAGCGGCCTCTGACTCTGCTCTGGAGAGAGGCACACATACATCACAGCACGGGACCAGTAACACATCACGCTCGTTCCTAGACGATGTAGTACCACTGCTGTGCTGTGCACCTCTCTACACTCATTGTGGGCGAGAGGGTGTGTCGCCTCTGCTGCTGCTGCTGTTGCTGTTATCTAAAGCGGTGGCGGAAGCGTCCTGTTCAAACAATCAGCAGCAGCAGCAGCACAAGCCGGGGAATTTTTCAACGTTTTTTTTTTCCTCTCTAGCTGATGACGATGGATAGCACCCCCTTCCCCCTCTGATGATAGCACCCCCCCCTTACGGCTGACGATGGATACCATCCACCTCTAGCGAATGATGATGGACACTACCCGCCCCTCTAGTGAATGATGATGGATACCACCCCCCTCTCTAGCTGGTGATGATGGACCGCCCCCCGTTCTTCTGTAACAGACGCACGAGCCTACTGCAGGTACTTTTGTGCAACCACCACAAAAAATTATTCCACCTCCAACTCTAGTAGTAGTACACTAGCTGTCATCGTAATAGCCCAGTACTCAAATTGTTTTTTTTTCTAGGCTATTCTAGTATGAACCACATCTATCACTACTCCTTCTGAGGACTCCGTGTTGTTTTAACACGCGTTGTAGGATGATCAGGCCGAGTTGATGATGTTGTACCAGGTAGGTTAACTCCGATACATGTGTCTCCACGAGCCACTCATGTCTCTGACCGCCAAAACCACATCTTTAGCACAGATGGACTTGTGGCGCATAGAGGGGGGGGTGATGTGGAGGACANATTTTTTGTGCGCGGAGGCAGACACCGTCAGAAGGTGGACGGGAACTATGTACACGGCCCTAGGTTGGCTAGAGGGCGCTGCATTGCCTCAGTAACCTGGCTTCGCCATCAAAGGAAGAGGGAGCAGGTGGCGACGAGCTGAACTAAGCTGGTTGACCATTCGGCGCGAGAATTTTTCCTTTTTTCAGACCAAGAACTTTGAGTGCAATGAGGGAGAAAGCGAGGAACGGACTGGGAAGGACAGCAACGAGAGCGTGTACGGACGGAGCAGG